TGATAACACCATTCCTGCAAACAAATTCTCGGTAATAACCTGTCAACCCGAGATATCCGCAGCCTACATATTGTAGAAAGTAGTAGACATTGTAAATTGCCGAATTCTTACTATGGTTAGAAGCCATGCCATTAGCCAAGGTAATAAGGTCCAACTAAGCGACTTGTGATTCATTGAATAAACACATTTTTTGAAAAATTGGCAATCCATGTTGTGATTCATTGCACATTCAAAGCTTGTTAAAGCAAACAAAAAAATCAAAGTTTCATATTATTTTTTGACAAGTAGAACAAGACGAAAAAGGGGACTAACTTTGCCTGATAATTCTTTGTGCTAGGATCTCTTCATATTGCTGCTCAATCTCATTTTTATGCATATTAGGGTGACTATGCGGCTGTACCACCACTAGACTGGTGCCTGCTTCCAGTAGTATTTGGTGACATGTACTTGTTGCAGTGTAGCGAACCAAGACTGGCAAACTGATGAGAAAGAAAACTTCCCATAATTGGGCCTACTAATCTCAATAATAGGGGAGGCAAATTGCAATTGCAAATTCCAAATAATTCAACTTGTTGACAAATGTGCAAAAAGTCATTTGCATTAAATTGAAATCCCAAATCATAACCAGTTGACTCTTAAAACAACTCTAAACCCACTTAAGGGAAATAAAAAAAGTCTAAAGAGAACAAACGCCTTCCTATGTGCAAAGACAACCTTATACACGACAGAACTTCACAATGTTTGGCCATTAGCAAAATCTATTCCCAAATCTGCTCTTTTTCCATGAAACTTTTCAACTATGGCACAAGGAATGTATTAATAAAATTATGAGTGCTTCCATAATTAACTAAAATAAGAATTTCCTTACTTGCATGTCTGAGTGGATTGATTGCCTGTAATGGCAAGGAGAGATTTCCACTTCTAGCATCAAATTCTGAGTCCTGAGATTGTTAGAATCACATTAATTTTCTGAATCTTGAATGATCAATCCGTCAATAACTTCCACCAAAAGAGTCTTTTGCACTGATGATGACAATATAGCATTCATCACAATTGGAACAGAGACAACATGCTTTTCTATCCTCCAACTTTTCCTGAGACAGCTATTTCACAAAACAAAATGGAGTTTGTACTTTTTTTGGGAAGAAGAAGCTAGAGGCTTTTAGGATCCCGCTAGTTCTATCTTTGCCACCAATTTGATTCCTCCCCTATAGACGACCCCCCCCCCCACCCCCCTCTCTCCCCCCTTTAATAGAGGCATACAAGATTTATAGCACAAGTAAGATCTCACAATGCCTGCAATTCAACTCCGAGGGCAATATATTCTTAGAGCTTGCTGACAAAGAGTTGCACCTCGTCACCCATATAATTGGTCCAGCATGCACAAAAAACTGCCAAATCAGTGCTTTTAATCATAAATGGACACACCTTATTGTAATTTGACCATTTCACCAAACTTGTTGCTGCGAATAAAAAGCCCAAAATGTATATTGCAATAACTCTTAAATTCCTCCCACAAATATGGTCAACTTCAAGAACCATTATTGAGAGTCACCTTCAAGATGATAAGATGCCAAAGATACTTATTGCTCCACTGGATACATAGATGACAAAAGAAGTGGTCACACTGACTCAACCAACGCAGAATATCAATTGTACCGTCATACCATAGAAAGTTAATCTTGGAAAAACATGGAACAAAGGGACCGTTTTCTGCAACCTCATGTTGTTAGTCACAGCATCCATGAGTTATACTACCTTCATCGTGGACATGAGAGGCCCACCTGAGACCTCCAAGTGCTTTGAACTTGTTTTCAAGGATATGTAGGCACAAGTTCCCTACGGAGTTTGTCTTTATCACTTTCAACCCAATCGCGAGCATGATCCTCTTGGTAGATCTTAATAAAAGTGTCTAATTGTTGTTGAATGACACAAGTACCTCACGGTATGTAGGATCACTATCTTTGATACCAATCACTATCTTTGATACCAAGTGATAAAATCCTCGAGATTTTAATCTCATAACTAGACCCTCTATTCTTACTCTGGGTTTTGTTTTTCTACTTATGTTGAATGTGGTTTTAATGGCTCATTAGAGAAGCCCTTAAATCTCATAAAGAAAAATAACAAATTTTGTTTTCTAAAATCCAATAGTTTATTCCATTCAATCTTGTATTTTTATACTAAAGATAACAGCAGCTTCCTATAGTTTAATAACTGTCCTCCAGAAAGATAACTACCTCCCTTTACAATATGATCTTCTACCGCACTAAACTCCTCCCTGCCCATTCTAATACAGACACAATACCATATAATAAAAATTAGATAATAAAAAAAATTATTACACAACCATTAACTAACAAAGCTAAGCATCAATACTGTTACCACTTCCTTTCTTTCCTTTATCTATGCTTATAAACTAACTTGAATATTTGACTTGTAACAAACAGGTGTACAACAAGTTTTCACCAAAATAGAAAAAGAATCAAGTCCGGCTACTAATTCTTACCCTCTCTAGGATTCTAATTAATTGGATATTGAAAAAAAAAAGGAATTTTTCATCACAGAGTAATTTTTTTTATTCATTTTCATATTTATTATTTAAATTAGGAAATTCTTTTACTATTTTAGTCTTGAAGCCTAAATAGGGGAAAAAATATAGGAAGCAAACCTCACTATTGCCGCAAGATTTCTTTCTAACCCGACATATTACCGCATTTGAGATGTGGGATCTTAACAGAGTGATACCGGAGCAGGAGGTCATGGAGGATTCTCAGGCTTTTCAGCAAAAGTTTGACCTTCCTCAAGATATAGCAGGAAGATCACCCAACAGCTAGCCACACAAATCAGAGTGTTGTCTTTAGAAATCTTAGGCTCATGGCCAGAGTGTTTTGCAGCCACCAAAATCAACAACTCTCACCATTGCAATAAGCGACCCCATAACTCAACTGAGCAACCCAAACGGTTAAGCACAGTTTCATGCTTTGCAAAATTGGATATTCCTTGTTAAAACAGCAGTATAAGCTCTATGGGCTAGCTGAACCACTGCTAGAACTTGAATCCCAACCAATGAACATTGGAGGAGTACAAGCTCGGGTTGGCATTGTTTTAGTAACTAGGGCATGCCCAACTATAGTTCATGAAGCTCAAGTAAGACAAGTCAGTCTGCAACCGAGGATGCCATCTCTTTCTTTCTCTCTAAATAGTCTCTCTAGATTTTTCTCCCTTCTTAGTCTTAGTTTCAGCTTGCACTTTGGGCAAAAACAGCCATACTTTTCTCCCCACCAAGGAAAGTACAAGAGGACGAGAATATTTTAAGAACTTGTAGCAGATGCCTCTTTAAATGATCAGAAAACTAAATGGACATTCGAGGAAATGTGTGAGTTTTCCGGAGTGAGAGTTCATAATAAATGGAGGAGAAAGCTAAAAGGAAATGACAAAAATTTGATCTTCTCTTTGGACAAGAATAGGCATCGCAAATTCTTGGAGCTAGTGGAATGGAATGGTGTAGACAAAAGAAGATTTCTTTTCCTAGATGTGTCAAAGTGAATGTGACAAAGCCAACAAATGATGGGGATTACTCTTTCTGATTGTTGCACTAAATGTGTCAAAGTGAAGAGAGGTCATTGAATAGTCTGGTTGTAGAGACGACAAAGAAGCATCGAACTTAGCCTTGTGTAAAAGCACATAAACAAACATGGGTTAAAACCCATATCAGGTTTAGCCCAGCCTCCTGCCTGAGAGCTGATAACAGAGGAATCTGGCTCAAGGAAATCCATCCACTGCTTTCTCCTCTTCCAAGTCGTTATCATCTTCTTCCACCAAATCCTCTCTTCCTAGTGTGGCAAATTTTGGGAGTCTCAATTGCTTTGAGCTTGGAGAGGCTAGTCAGCAGAAAACGACCCCTTTGAAGGAGTTGTTGTCTTCTAGGTTGGTTCCTCTCTCTAAACCTTGTATCTTGTTTTCTATATCTCCTCTTTCATGTGCTGCTTCTCCATATCAATTGAGGAAGTAGCAACTGGTGTTGTTATCTCAAGAGAATTAGCCTTGTGAGTTTGAGGTGCCATCACTCTATTAGAATCAAAATGGCGAATTATCTCAAGAGAATTAGTAAATTGTCTGCGGTCAGTTTTGAGGATCTTTTAGCCAAGATACGGAGTCCTTCAGAACCTCAATTTGAACACCATTTATTGAACCCACAACCTCCAGCCAAAACCAATTTTTGCAACAATGTCCAGGCACAAAATTTTTTTGTAACAAGTAAAACACAATTCCTTCTCTCACCTCTTCTCAAATTCGCTCTTTTAAAGTTTTTATTTGTGTCTACCCCTAATACATCTTTATCCTATTTTCCTCTATCATTACTTTTGTCACCAAAATCCTGCCGCCCTTAGGATGACACATAGACCATTCTCTAGATAATGCTTCCAGACAACCGACCAACACTTACTGTCAACAAACTTGCTCTTGCTCAAGATGTTCCTATGCCCAATTCTCCTGTTACCATTTGAGAAAATTCTCTGTTGCTGAAACCCATAACAGTGAACTCCAAAACCAAATGTTATCTTCTCTATTTTAGGATCTTGTTATGAGAGACCAATATGGGCTCGTTAAGGGAATGACCTCAAACAGTATGAAATAGTCATTAAACTATTCTGATAATTACTCACTCCATAACCTCTTTATTCCCTGTAGATTTAATTATATAAGACCAGAACGGTATTTGTTCCCCTTCAACCAACATCTATCCACTAAGGCAAGCAGTAAAGACAAGTTCAAAGACAGCAAACTACAAATCCAAACTGCCCCTATCAGACTAAAAAAAAGTAACTATTACATCTTAAAATAAAGCATGATAAATTAAACACTTAGCAGTTAGCAGCCCAACCCTTAAATTTTCTTCCTCCTCCTTTGGTAGTCTTTGTCAAATGGCATGATACCAATGCACATGAAAAAACATTGGTAGATAAAGGGTATTACATCTAGAGGATGAAAAATACCAGGTAACTTCCTCGGTTTTCTCAGTGGAACAAACTTTGCTCCTATAGCCAATGCGATGGGAGGACCAAATATGAAACCTCGAGCCTCTATTCCTGAAGCACAAAATTCTTTTTTCAGAACAAAATGAAGGGCCTTGAGAAAGAGAAACAGCAAAAGAGCAAAAGGTGTTAATCCCAGTTTCGTTTGATTACATAAAGCAAGTACCATGTACTAGCAATCTTCATATGATATCGTCAAAAAATATTTACCAGTAAGTTGCATTTACTCCAAGTGGCCAACAATAAACATCATACAAAACGAATAAAATGATGCCTCCTTCCACAACGAAAAATAATTGCATTGCCTTATTAATATAAAAATTACATTGAAATTAAAAAAAAAATACAATCTCATTAGAAATAGTAGAGGGTATAAAACTTCAACTGGTAGAAAGAAGAATTCCACAGTGCATAGATCTCAATTAAACTTCTAGCCACACTAATCCCTGTCCTCCCACCCAAAGATGAGAATCAAATATAACCAAGTTAAGAACACAGAATCTACATACAGCAAGATGAATTACACGCAACTGGCTGTAAATACAACAGCATAATCAAGGGTCAGGTTGTCCTATTAATGTGATCAAATCCAAGTTATGAACCAGCAGCCGATTCAAATCCACATAGATTTGATTGGGAGTAACACAGGAATGCAACCTCACCAAAACTTATCTTCAGAAACCTTCTTCTTACAGGGGCATTTTGATATTAATATAAAGAGTTTAGTCTAAGTATTATAGGAGTATATAAATTTCAATAGCCAACTTATTTAGAAAAACTTGATTTGATATATTACACAAATTCCTCTCCACAGTAACAATAGGTTTTGGTCCAGCTGCTTGTAACTTTTCTTCTATAATTATAAATTTACACAGAAGCTATCTGCATAAGGTTATATTTTCTCTTTTACCTAATTTACTCTTTTTATTTAGTTTTCTTCCTCTTTTTACACGCTTCAGAGAGTATTCACATGATGAAGGAGAAAAATGGAAATGCTCACGAAATTGTTATTTTCCTATGGTTGAATTTTCACCAGAGTCTCAAAATCAAAATCCATATTACTTATTTATTTTTCTCAAACCAAAAAAAAAAAAAAGAAACAACTTATAGCTAGTAAACAAATTTGTGCAAGGACAACACTCCAGTGAAGTAAAATGTGAGAATAAAAAGGATGCTAGATCATTCTTGGACTACTAGGGGACATCATAGTTGTACATTATCAAACATGTCACAAACATGTTAAGTTTTAGCCTTCATGTTTTTCTCCATGTACTGCTGTTTATCAAAACCTTTTTAACCATTCGATAATAATTCTCTGCACATTGATAAATTAATATATCTTTACATTTTCCCCCATCTCTTGAATGTTTCATCTCAACCTCCCTCCATGGTTTTGGTAAGAATAAGGAGTGTAAAATACTTGGAAGAGTGGCTATTTTTGTTTGATTCTATACGACTTGATTGGAGAGAAATGCTAGGTTTCTTGGAGGCTCTTGCTAAACAACCTCATTGATTTTGGGGATAGGATTAACTTCTTTTGGCATCTTTTGGGCTAAGCACCACTGTCATTTTAGGAACCTCTTTTTACTTATTTTACAAAGATATCGACTTACCTTTTTGTATTTTTTTTTTGTCATTCTTTTCTTTTCATTTAGAGGATCTCTTATCCTCTGATAATGTAATTCTTTTTCTTCTCCATTCATTATCTAATCATATATTTCTTCTTTTACCAAAAGAATATATATGTCCTTACATTTGCAAGTATTATGTGATTTCAAACCTATTATACTCCTTCATGTTTGTGATTCTCAGAAAAAAAAAATGATGGAAATCTTTTCTCTTGTTAGTTATGATGTAATAGAGCAGAAGGATTGAACTTGATCTCCTTGTTAGAGCACAGTGATGGTACTGATTGACTGATCCCTAGCCATGACAACTATATGGAGGCATGTTTGCACAGATAATTTTCTTATTGGGAAAAGTGATTTAATACTGACACTTGTGCTTCTTAAAGAGCTGTAAAATGAAATCAAAAAAGTCAACCAGAATCAGACAGAATTTCTGTCAGATTAGAAGTAACTTTAAAGCATAGCTAAGTCATGGACATGAGAAAACAAAAAAGAATTCCTTCCCAGGATGAAAGCAGAGGATGAGAGAGCAAAAAAGAAATTCTACAGATATTTATCACTTGAAAATTTTTCAATCTCTCATGTTAATAGAATTTAAAAATGAAGATTTCCAATAGCCGCTTTAAGTCAAGTCTGGAAAGCAAATAAAATCTATAAATTGGTTAACTAATTTTTTCAAATGAACTGTGACTTGTAAAAGAAAGAAGATAGTTACAGTTTTGCCAAAGAAGGAAACATAATCATAGTCTCCTGTTTCAAATGATAATGTCTAAAGCTTCAGGGAACAAATTCTAGAGCGCAACATATTCCTGGGGTGTGCCCAATAAAAAGGACTGAGTCTTCTAACAATCTTATCTTAAAAGCACATGCACTAGACGTAATCCACAGGATAATATCAAATGGATTGACTACTGATGAGAAGATGCTAAAGAAGATGCTATTATCTCTCAAGGAAAGAAGAAAAAAAAAACCTGCATTTTTCCATGTGAGAGTACCAAACATCTGTAAAGGTTTTCCAAAGCATAAGAAGACAATATGTGTCCTCATGAGCTCACAAAGGGACAGATTCTAAAGACCACACGACAGACAAAACGCATGGATGATGAATCCTGGCTAAAATGTTTTTAATTGAAAGAATACAATAAAATAAGGACCAAGGTCCTACCAAATGATGAGGAAATAAAACTTTTTTCAACTTTTAAGAAATTTGTTGAGTCACCACGGGGAGAAGAGGGAGGAGTAATGAGCGACAGAATATTGGAGTTCGGCATATGGTATAAATAGATTAAGTCATGGTATGGTTCCTTTACCAGGATGGAACCATTCTACCATTTATTTTACCAATAACAGAAACCTTGGTTTCTAACGGAGGCGTTCTTATCAAAAAAATCAAATCCAAGCACCTCAAACAGTGCATTCCCAGAGAGGAAAACAGAATTAAGTTAGTATACAGTAACTTTGTGTTTTACCGTTTAGTCCCAAGAAAACCAACCTGGGAATATTAGAAAAAGACAACAAAAATGCAACTTACTTTCTCCATCCACAATGCAATCAAATTCAATCAGAAATCCTGGATATATATTCATGTATAAAATAATTATAAAAAAAAAACTTAAAACAGTGTGAAATGCGTAACCCACATCATAATGCAGCCAAAACAAATCAGCCGGATCAGAGCTCACATCATCTCCGGGTCCACCCTTAACAAGGTGGGCATCCATCACCAACCACCATCCACCCAAATCGGATCCAAGCACATGCCCACAACACAAATGAGAGAGAAAGCAAATGTGAGCCGCTCAAAGAGAGAAGGGAAAAAAAACTTCATAGTGAAATAAAGAGAGAGCAATCAATGGCACACCCCACTAACAAAGGCCTAGAGTCAAACAAGAAATCACTCCAAAGAAAAACACACAGTCACTTCCATTCCATAATGTCCCTTAAAAGCATTCAAAAAGACACCCAGAAACTTATGCAATTTGATCTATTTCTCTCCTTTTCTTACCCTGTTTATACCCGGGATGGACCCCACGCACCTCTGGTGCTAATCAAAATAAGATAAAATTAAAAAGTTCATAAAGAGATTAAGATCAAAACTTTTTAATACCTCAGAAACCGAAAATGTGAAAAGGTGAAAAAAAAAAAAAGTCTTTCTTTTCGTTTTCTCACCTGCAACCACTGAAATGTTTTTGTCTTTGTATCTCTCTACGAACAAATCAATGGTGTCCCTGAATGCTTGAGGATCCAGTAATAGAGTAGTAATATCTTGAAACATGATACCTGCAATTTTAAACGTTGGTTAAATATATATTAGAAAATAAAAGAAGAGAAATAAGCAAGTGCCGCTAGTTTGTTGTTTGCAAAGAAAATTGTGCAACAGAAAGAATATGTAAAGGAACTGAAAATGAACTTCTCATTCAATTTTGGTGAAACCGAGCTAAAAACGTCAGATGAAGTTAGTAAAGGTATACCAGAAGATCGTATTGATAGTTTTTTTTTTTAAAAAAAAAAAAAAAAGAAAGAAAGAAAGAAGGAAAAACACGATTGAGAAAAGAAAATAAACAATCCTACGAAAGTTTTCTCCCACATTTATCCAGCAGAAAAAGAGAGTAAAAACAAGAAAAATAGAATCAGACGACAAAGCCGGAAAAACGAAGAAAAGAAAAACAGAGAAAGAAGCAGAAACCTGGTTTGGGAAAATCGGGCACCACGCGAATCTTAGTTTTGATGCCGTGAATACGAGGATCCTCATCTCTCAAAGCCGACATTGTCCGTATTGGTATCTATGCATACAACCAACCACGAACAACACCACTCTCGTTTGTTTCTCTCTCGGTAGAAGAAGCACAAGCTATCCAAAAAGACAATTTAAAACAAAAAAAAAAAAAAAAAAGAAGGAAACGAGAAAGAAAAATGAATTGCAATACAGAGAGGAAAAGAGAAGGTATTTATAGAGGGTTAATGGTTTGGTGAAGAAGAAAGAGGGCTCTCTGCACAAGAAATGGAGAGAGGGAGAGGAAATCTTTTCGATAACTAGTAAGAAAAGAGAGGGATCGTAATTCGTAAAAAAAGGGTCAAAATAAAAATCACGAGTCTTCCCTCTCTCTCTTTTATTACTTAATTATATAATTTACAAATATTATATTATATTTAATTAATTTATCCCCCAAAAAAAAAAAAAGTAATAAGATACTTATATGTTTTAATAAAATTTACAGGAAATACAATACGTGCTTTTATTTTTACAAATTAATAAATGTATATAATAATAATATCTTCTTTTTGTGCATAGTTTATTACCATAGAAGTGCCGGTCAACGAGTCGCCGCTCGTTCTTTGTTGGATATTTGGCGCCCTTCTCGAGCTCTGTTTGAAAGACCTGCTTTTTACGCTCTTTTTCTTTCCGATAAAATTAATTATTTTTTATTTAACATCTTAATCTCTTGTCCTTTTATAAGATTTCCCTTGTCATGGTTCAATAAATAATCACTTCACTTAATTATCTTAAATTTTTTATTTTAAAAAAAAAAAAAAAAAAAGTGTACCCACAAATTGTGTTTATAAAATCTATGGTTATGGTTAGTACTTAGATAGACCAATAGCTTTGAGTAAGACAAAATAATTTGATAGTCATTTGTGATTTCTTAGTGTATAATAAATAATATATTCTTATTTTTTTTAATTTATGTTAATAATTAATGAAAGTAGTGACCACAACAATCATGCACGTTAATAACAACAATAATTGCAAGAATAACAAAAATGATAATATTAAATACAATCATGTGCAAAGTAATAGCAATCAATAATGATAATTGTGATAATAAGAATGCAAATTGTGGGCATTAAATATTATTAAAGAAGAAAATCATGATATTAAAAAAAATAAACTAAAATATTAAATATAAAAAAAAAATCACGATATTAAATATGAGATAAATTAAGATATTAAAGAAAAAATAAATTATGGTATTAAAAAGAAAGAAAATCAGAATGTTACAATAGGAAATAAATCAAAGACATTAGAAAAAAATTAAATTAAAAGATAAAATTATATCATTTGTAATTAATTGTAAATAATTTTTTATTTTCTTTTTCATCACATAAAACTTGCATATATATAATTGTGACATTCAATAAAATATACATCAATCAAATAAAGAAAATAACTAAAATAGTGATGCCTTCATAGTCGACCACCACCCTTCTATCGCCAGCCACCACTAGGCTGGCCACCTCCACCACCAACCGCCCTTCATAGTTAACCTTTAAATCAATTATTGCTCATTGAATCGATAGTCTTTAGCAATTATCCACAAGCACATACCACCTTGCACAACTCTATCGATCGCCTTCATCGTGGTCAAACATGAACAATTTTATATAGTCATGTGTTCCGATAAAATGCTTATAGTAATTTATTTTCTTTTCAAAAATTAATTACTATTTAATTATTAAAAAAATGTCGAGAAGTACATTTTAAGTTACCAGAGCAAATTATAACATGTCAACTTTATATCTTAATAAATTTAGAGTGGATATTGAAAGTCTAAAGACTCAACTTGAATCTCTAGAGAAACAAATAAATACCAAATTATCGGCACTTCCAAGTATGGCTTCTACCTCATAAGAACTAAATACTTCAGATAAATTCTTCGAAAATTATTGGATTATAGACTCATAAGCTACAGATCATATAATCAACACTTTTAAATATTTTTATACATATATATTATATCAAAGTAATAAAAAGATTGTGACTGCATATAGTTCTTTTAGTATTATTGCATACAATAGTAACATTAAAATTTATCAGACGATATTAGTTTATTGACTAAAATAATTTAGTTTAGATTTAATTATAGGGTATGATGGATAATACAAGTAAATAAGATTATTTTGATATTTAGCTTATGCATGGGCAACTAGCTATAGAAGGAACATTCTGAGGATTTTGGTCCCTGCATATGGATAACCAATTAAGAGTAATATCAACTCTTAAGATTTAATATTAATTTTAGACAAGTAGTGTTATAAATAATTAATGTTAATTGGACTAGTATATAACTCTTTAAATCAATTTAAATTCTAAAATTTGAAATGTAAAATTAACTGAACTCATAACTTTTGTATAACATGTATAGTTTATATCAAGAAATAAAAGTTTAAGAAATCAATATTGAAATAGATGAATGCCCTTGGTCGAAAGTAATCCACTTGAGAGTACACGAAATCAGTTTTTAAGTGTTAAACTAACTTATTAATTCACTCTCTCTTCTTATATTTTCTTATAATATAATCAAATATTCATTAAGTATTTATAAAATAACATAGGCTTGCACTTACTAGTATATTTAGTTATTATATAATCACTCACTAAAAACTTCAAAAAATTATTGAAACTATGCCACAATTTAAGAGTTCTATAGGCAAAATTAAATATATTTAATTTATATTTTTTTCTCAATGGAAGAGACGAATATGGAATATCATAGGGGAGTAAGGTTTGACCAACACTTTAAGAAGAGGAAAACTTTTCTATCTAAATCTAGCCCTAAACTCATGAATATGAAGGTGAGAAAAACTAAGAAAAAAAGTTTTTTCTTTTAAGTTTCTCTCATTTTGGTTCAGTCATACTAACTATTAAGTATGTAGATATAAAGCTTAATTTTTAATTTATATTACTACATGTCTAATAAGACATGATCATAAAATAATTTAGCATATATAATTTTTAATTAAATATTAAAATCTATTATAATTTTGATGAGATAAAATTTTAGATGATTAACCACTAATCTATTTAACTAAAAGTTTATTAAATTGAAAATTTTAAATTCCTTTGCATCTATATTAGGACATACAAAAATCCATTGTTAGTTATTTGGAGTGTGTCTATCAGTCCTTCCATACCCCCTTGCTATTGCCAATAATTATTTATCATTTAACCTTTGTAGTATCCTTGATTGATAAGACTTTAATGTTAGCTTTAAACTCTTTGCACTCATCAGTGTCATGATTGAGACTATGGTAAAAATAATAATACATGGGCATGTCCAATTTATTGTTTTTTTTTTTGCTTGAAATGTTGTTTTCTATATGATGATCTTTTCGTTTTATGTTCTATAAAGTATTTTACATAAACTAGTTGATTATAATATACCTAAATATTCAAGGAGCAATGCATTATTAGTTCACTAACATTTTGAATTTTCTTTGGAGTATTTTATTATATTCTCGCGAGATCTCTCGTTAAAAGTTTAAAATCATTTATTATTATGCGCAAATACAACCATCTATGCACTTGTGCATTTCTATGCCTTGATATAAAGTTTTCTCAATGTTTTTAAAGGGTTTTAAATAGAGAAAAAAAATATAAAAATTATAACTTCCTAATCATTGTGCCCAAACATGACATCTTATACACTCGTGGATTTTTATGCCTTTGTATGAAGTTTTATCAAGGTTCTAAAGAGCTTTACGTAGGGAAAAATTAAAAATTGTGATTTCTTCCCTTACAATTGATGGTTGCTATGATTATTCTTTCATTTAATTGCTTATTGTAGAAAAATTTATCCCACAAAGCATTTTCTCCTTCTTGAATGTATCATAATTAGATTGGCACACGCTTTCTTTTCTATTGCTAATAAATTATTATAAAAACTAACTTATAAGTTGTTTGAAATCACATAAAACTTAGATTTGATGTTGTAGAATAGTATATAAAGTATTGATTTGATTATTGAACGAAATTCGATAGTATTCATTCACTTGTTCTAGTTATCCTCATAATCCTTTATATGTTAATAGTAGTTAAGTTGTAACAACTTAAATTTTACAAAGAGATGCTCATTCATTAGTTTTAAAATAAAAAGGATTTCCTATAACACTTGAGATTATATTAATTATATTTAAGAATTTGCCCCGTAGCTCCTCAACACGGGGATATGTTTCATTCATAACATCTCGTAGCAAATTTTACATTTTTTTTATATTTCATAATAGTTAAATTTAGATAATTTTTATTATAAAAAAAAAATTATTCTCTCTCTTTTAATGAAACATATTTTATGTAATAAAATTTTTACATAACTTAAACTAAACAAAATTATGATAATATAAATGATATATAGAATAATTAAAAGATCAAATACTGTTGCAATAATATTTTTCAATCTTTGAGCAAATGATGGTTAGTAGGAAATATGGGAAGGCTAGACTCTAGATAAAATGATGTTGTTTGCAGTCTATTTTATTCAACTTGGGTTGATTTTAAGTTTAAAAAAAAAAAAAAAAAAAACAGAAGATAGATCTAAAAAAAAAAAACCTGGCCTCATCATTCTCAAATCTTATCATAAGCTTGATGACAACAGAAGGTTAATCTAATTATAGCAGATAGAGAAACATTCAAACCCACCCCAAATAAATTTGCATTTCAAGACTTGATAATACCCTGCAGATTTTGCTGCCTTGTTGCACTCAACTAATAATAATAATAATACGTAAGCCAAGGAAGCAAAGGAGGTCCTTGATAATTATTAGTAAATGACTGAGAGTTGATTTCATGAAAAGATGATCATGATTTTGAGTTCTAAAAGACTAATAAAATTTCATAATGTAAACCCAATTTTAATAAGTAATTGTCATTAAAATATATATATATATTAAATTAATGTTATGATAATATAAATTGGACCTACCTACCACCACACCACACCACACAAATGAAGGAAGCATACTTAAACATCACTAGTGGCTTGTGAAAGAAAATAGTAACGCATCATGCTGCCCACCTAATTAATTATACATAAAAATGCACTTAATAATTTCTATTGGCTTGTATTCAACACCCACTCAGGAATCAATTGGACCCATAATTAACTTGATGACACTAACCCCAAAAAAATCATGTTCATTATAGAATATGTTGATTAGATGATATTAAACGAATTATATAAGAGAAAATTATAATTTCTAATATTATTTAAACAAATTAAAGAGTGTCCAATGACCATAAAATTTTGCATTTTCTCCTAAGTCGCCCAAA